AAAAATACCTACTATTGTACATATTCTGTGCATGTGCATATATAGCAACACAGGTAAATAAAATATTTAAATTAGGTTTGAATATAAATGTGTATAAATGTATATAAAAAGGCACCATAATAGAAACAGTATAAATAACATCACTCTATGCTGACCTACAATTTTAGTCTATCTTTTTACCATAGTTAACACTTACCTTTAAGAAACCTGTCGATAATTTTTATATTTAAATTGTATTAAAATATTTTAGCATTAAAATAGCTAAAAATACAGGGGTTAATTTAGTCTTTTGTCTCACGCATACAAATCCAGTGAAGCAGGGATAATAATGAACAGAATTGGGCCCTAAAAAGTTCTCATTTGACACTAATCAGTAATAAAAGGCAATGCAAACTTGTGTTAAACTGATTACACCCATATAGCAATATTGTATAATGGCTTTAGCTGCTTAGCAACAGAAGTACAAGAATACCAGGTAAAATAGATTATAAGCTCTGATTAGTCCCAGATGAATGTAGCAGTGGCAAATCAGTTAGGTTAATTTGCACTGTTTATCATAAATGACACTCATCTGAGCTGTAATGGCAGAAGACATTTAATTTTTTTTGTACAAATACACATAAAAGAAATAAGGCTTTATTTAACCTTACCAATGACAGTTTTGGTCACATATTACAGGGATTCTTCCTAAATTAACTTAGAAAACATGACTTAAAAAAAACGTAAGCATCATGATTCTCCTTCCCTTTTGTGTTTTACGCTTTCTTACAAAAGAAGTGTACAAAAGAAATCACTTTAAAAATGGAACTCCATTTTACACCTTTCCGCTGGACTTGCAGATCCTTTTTGGAAATATTTAAATGCAAACCATAGTGGAAGGAAGACTAATTACTCTTGGTTTTTAGAGGGGTCTGATGCAGAAAAAGGTTCAGGGATTTTTCAGAGTAACAAAGGGACATCATGACAGCTGAGATGAAATAAAACGCCCTGAATTTCAGGTTTATAAACACCAGACTTGTAGCATTACTCGGAGTGTGCTAGGTACAGTGCAAACAGCAGAAAGGAATAACAGCTGAACCACAGAACTCACAATCTAAGATAAAGCAGCAGTAAGCCACTAGGTAGCATGTACCAGTTAAGGGATCAACACAGTTGCACTAGGGTCTCTACAGCCTCTCCTGCATGTCCTCCAGCCATGTCACGTGGTTGATCTCTTCCTTACAACACCAGAACACAGGAAAGAAGTGAATGGCCTTGCAGGTCAGCCCAGGAGCCCAGGATAGATACACTGATTTTAACACTGTAAGGAAGAGTAATGTCTTTATGGGTAGCATAAGTCTATTTACCTGTAGTAACTGACTCTACCCTTTACTTAACTATTTGTTTCCTCTAAGAGAATATAGCTATAATGTTGACTAAGGGTCCTTTACAAGTTCTGCAACTCTATCATTCAACAGGAGCATTTCTGCGCACTAAAAATATTCTCTACTACATCTGTTTAACATAGTGTTATGGAAAAAGAAGGTGAGCACTATTTTCAAATTTATCAGATTTTATGAAGTTGGATAAAAAAATCAAATGGCAGATGTTAAAAGCAGAAGCTCTCTAGTCTTCTAATTTTATACTGAATTATCATAATAAAGCTTTCACTGCCTCAAATAATTTAATCCCCACTTTATTTCTTAAGTATTTATTAGGACAATTCATTATAAATTATAGGGTGTGCACATACATGTGTATGCATCTCATAGGGTAGAGAGCTAGAAAATTTTAAGTACTTACGAAGGAAATTGACAGGGGTGTAGGAGGAATCAAGTGGAGCTACTTATATTTTCTAGACCTTTCTATAAAAGGCACTTTAATTCTCACAGTTCAGAAAAATCTGACTGAATTCCAAGACAAGGATGTCTTCAGAGAAAACACGTCTAGAAACATTTAAATCCCCTTTATCAGCCACTTGACTGAAGTATTATCAATAAAACCTCATGGTGATACTGTTCCATAGTTGATCCCTGAAGGAGGGCATGAGCTGGGAGGGAAGAGGACACTGCAGAGGGGAACTGAGCAGGGTCAGATTACTGTCAGGTAAGATACCCCTTACTGAAATATCAAGGGACCAATACACAGAAAAAGAGAAGATAGTGAGGAAGAGTGGAAACAAAATTAAACCTTGATAATGCCCTATGTTTTCTCAATACCTTTATTAAGAAAACAATACCTACACAATGAATTCCTGAATAAACCAAAGATGATGATCAGCAAATGTCAGTTATTACAAAAATGCAGTACCCTGTACACTAGGGCTTGGGCAGGTTTTGCCATGGGAGTGCCAAATACAAAATGCAGCATTCATCATTCATATTCCTACTGACAAACCACAGGCAAAACACAACTCAAACCTCAGAATATGCTGACAGACACAATGACCATACCCTGGCAAAACAAGAAGGGAAATACTGCCATAGTATAAGTGTGTTGAAAAATACTAACCAAGGGTGACACAGTTTTACAAGATACACTTCACTAAGAGAGTTAAGCTCCTTCCACATAAAAATCCAGATCAGCTGAGGCCCTGCCTATAGATTTTACCTTCTTTCTGATATGTACAACTGGGTTGCGGAGCTCATTCCTCAAACTACTGCAGACAAAACATCCTGTATCAGCTTTGCACACTCTATCCCAAGCTTTGGAACTCTCTCAACTTCCAGATCACTGAAGAAGATTTCTAAACTACTCCTGAAATACAATACTTGAATATAAAATTTTTAATAGATCTGAAATATTGATGGGGCAGGGGGCAGTGGTGGCTCATTTTTTGATGGACTTAAAGCAAATTGGTTTGATCAAAGTTTGATTCTATATTAAGCAGGAACATGAGAAATATCAGTCCCAAGAATATTTTTTTAAAGTAAGGAAGCTAGATAGAATTATTAAAACAAATTAGATATATAGGGCTAAAACTACTCTAGTGTATAACATATGTTGCTGTTAGGCACTACTTGGCACAGTTTCTGAATTCCAAAGTAATTTAAAATATTATCCCTTACTTGTTGTGATAATAATAGATTCATTTAGTAAGTGACACTAATGAAAATTCTGGTCCATGTAAAAGATAAATAATACTGAAATGTATTTACTGTAAAAAGCATATTAGGTAACTTTTCTGCAGTGTCTTCAGCTGATGACTGAAGGAAAACACTGCAGCATAGAAAGTCAAACTTCCACATCTGCATTTTTGTGGAAGAGGAACAAAGCAAGTAATCTCATTACATAAAGACAATTTCTGAATGCTCTGACAATGCATACTGAGTCAATCTTCCATTAAGTCAGGGTGTATATGACAAATATGCTCTACTTGAAATGTAAAATTCAATTCCAGCATGATCACTTCAGGGACCAGTTCTGCAAAGTACAGCTACCATGCCATGTATGGCACACAAGAGCAGCGTAAGTAATGATATACTACTGTGAAACACACTTAAAACCTATTGTACTACAGTCTTTGTCTCAATGAAGCTATTTTAACCATATAATATGTTTGTTTGAGCAAGTTTTTCTACCTGTTTTTCTACTGAACCTGAAAAAAATCAATCAGCAACTAATTTACTTGGTACATTTTCATTTGTTGCCATTCATATATGAGTACTTTTAACACATGTACTGCTTTTGCTTTTCATATATTTTGGTGTTTGGTATTTTTTTTCCTTTAAAAAGAATTCTTTGTATAAATTATTCCTAGGAGATGCTCAAGAAAACCCTTCAATTTTTCAACCATGGATTTTTAATTTGATTAGGTATCACTAGGTATAGTTTTGAATGTTTGATAAGACACACTAGTGCAAGACTTGTAACTATAAAACACTTTAGCATGAGTTCCTCTGAGCTCAAGAAGAGCCACAAACTACAGTTTCTGTTAAGAGATCTGGGAAGAGAGAAGGCAGTGAGAAGAACTTCTGACTATCTTCAATAAATGGCTTTGGATAGCAGGGAGGAAGACAGAAAACATGGTAAAAAAGAGGGAAGAGCAGACCAAAAATACAAAAGGAAATCAATCTACAGGAAATCAGAGGAGTAGCAGAAGAATCTTCTGTAATAATTTACTTAATGTACAACTGATCTTCACCAATGTTCTGACACATGATTCACATCAATGTAAATTGCTGTTACATTTATTTACACTCCAATGAGTGCACTCCGTCCTAAAGGTCCCTTTCCATTCACAGAGTGAATATACAGAGTGAGGTATAAACCTCACCCCACCACAATCTCTTAATCATCTCTTTCATCTGAAATGGCACACTTGATTCTAGTTATAAATTTTAAAATCATACGTTAAAACATTTTAAGAGTATGTTCATACATATAATACAAGTCTGAATGTGAAACACCCTCCACAGACAGGACGCCTTCCTGGGCTACTGCTTTGTGTCAACTTCAAGCATATAAAATGCTAGCACATTTTAAGAACTAACACTATTTTAAGAACTGAATAAACCTATTAATTGCTTGCTGTTTCCATATTCAAACCACTATAATCTTGATCATACTAGCCATTTTCCTATGGCTTTCCCACTGTTCTATTTATCTTTCCTGACAACTTTGCTCAAAGATCTTCTAAGTCACAGCTTTTCTACAATTCTACACAGCATTGCACACTGGATGTTAAAAATATTTGTACTTATTTCAACAAATGATACACCCTATTAATTTACCAAAGAAACAGAAAATGGCACCTCAGTAGGTGCCATTTTTTGTATATTTAATGTATGTGGGTTTTTAAATTTTTTTAACTCATTTACTGCCATCTCCTGGTACTTACAAGGTAGTAGTAGTTATGCTTTTTAACAGCAGCCAGTACTCCTATACAATACCACTGAAATGCCAAAAACTTACCAGAAATATTTTCAAAATATTGTACTTTTAATGTTGTTTTCTTTCAGTCTGGAAATAGTCAAGTTTGTTCCTTGAGCAGAAACTGGTAAAAGACTCATGCAGCTTACCTTTGTCTGGAAGCAGCAGTAAAGTTGTGTTAAATATGGATGTTTCCGTGCTAATGCCAGAATTCTCTTTTCTGTCATTGTACAGTCTACATCATCATCTTGAAGTATGACATCTTTCTTCAAGACTTTCACTGCATATACTTCATCTTTTCCTTTTAGCTCAGCTAACATTACCTAAGCCAAAGAAAAATTCTCTTTACGTATGAACAACAGATGCCATAAATGCAGGGTTTCATATGAGTTTGACTGCATTGAAGATAGAAAGACAGTTACGTACTTGCCTAAATGAAGCCACAATTTATAAAACAAGAAGTAAAGTACCGTAATTTTAGATACATATAGCTCTGGTATTCTTCAAATTTGAAACAGAAGGTAGAAGGTTCTGTTTGTTAATTAAATATCTTAATGAGTACCTATTAGTAAGATCTCAAAAACTAAACAAGGAAGGAAGTTGATGTAAAACAGAAATTTATTTCCCACTTTTATCTCTCACTTCTGGTAGTGAGATTTGAGTGTGATGGACTTTGTATACAATTCAAAGTTACCATTCCAGCTTCTTTCAAGTTGTTTTTAACTACTACTATTGTTTACAGTTCAGGCCCTATATTCTGTTTTAGGTCATTCTGGCTTGGAGCCAGGATAACCTTCAGAGAAAGGATTAGAAAACAAAAGAACTGCTTCAGTCCTGTTCCCCTGCATGTGAAGTTCCCGTAATATCAAGGAAGGAAGAGTGTACTTCTGAAACAGATTCATATTTCAGTCCACCTCTTTGAGTCCATGGTGCAAAATAGTGTGGAAAGAAAAGCTTATAAGCCCTGTAAACAAAGCAATGCCCCTTCCACCCTCATCAATTCCCTGCTATAGGAAGGTGTCTGGTAAGTTACATCTCTGATGTTTACACTGTATTTTGGGCAGCTGTCTAAGCCCTGTCATATCTGAGTGGAAATGCTTCAGTTGTGATTCCTTCAGCGCTGAACACACCCACTGAGGAAAAACAAGTACTCACAATGTTCTGTGAAATAAGTAAACTTGAATGGGCAATTATCAAGAAAGTGAATCAACCCCAGAGCATTATTCCTGACATTTTACTCCCGCTTGACCACAAGCAATTTTGTTGAACAGTATGTATGTAACTGTATGCGTGTCTTCATCAGCCATATCCTATAAAACACTGACATTTTGTTTCAAAAGGCTTGACCCTGGTTAACAAAGTGAGCTAAGGCACAGATAAGGCCAGCTCATCAGGAGACTAATACTTTTGTTCTGTTTGGTAAAAGAAAACCCTTAGGCTGGAAGCACTTTTGATACAAACATTTCCAAATTGGTACAGTCAAAACCCCTGAACACTAGCTTAAAAAAAATAAAAGAAAAGAAGGGGAAAAAAAAGCTACCCACCTTGCCAAAACTGCCTTTTCCTAATACTTTGATGAAGTTGAATTCTTCAAGACCTATTCGCTTGCTCTGGGCCTGTTTGACCTCCCCATTTTCACCATTCTCCCCAGATTTGTTAAGCTGGTTGTCTGTTGACGTTGTAGCTGTCGCTCTGTGTTCCTCTCCCCGATTGTCAAAAGATAACGCTTTCCTAATGTTGTTTTCCAGCTCTTTGATTTCTGTGAAATGTAAGGAAAAGCTTGTTTTAACCACGTATCAGAAAATCAGCCTGTGTTAGTCTGTATCAGTCTGGAAAGGGACATCCATCATCCCTGAATGCTGTGTTTAAGTGCATTCTGTGGTTAAGAATACATATTTAGCAAACTGCTTCTCCACCTTACAGTAATCAGCCAAACCCTGCTCTAACAGGAAGGGTGGCCTTTTAAAATGAACTTAAGAGAATGACATATCCAAAACTTGAAAGATAAGTCAGAATAGTAGCCAAATAGTTGTTCTAGTGACTTTGGGTGTTCCTGTACCAGAGAGAAGTACTTTGTTTTGAATATCCCTATCTTCCTGTAGCACTTACTCATCTTCCTGCTTAAGTATTTTACAGCTGTCTTCAAAAGTTCAAAGGATAGTTGGTCGTCCCAGTCCTTGAAGTCAACATGAATGGAGCATCTTATTCAGCTCCAGCTGTTATCAGACGCCTGCCAATAAAGTGTTTGACCACTTCCTAGTTCTGCTTCAAGCAGCAATTGTGTAGATCTGCTAAATGGTTCTGAAGGTTTCTCAGCATTAAATACAGAGAGTCCTGGTGACTAACAGTCCTTAGGGTCTGCCCGGAGATCTTGCATGGTACTTCCGCCTGATGGCCTTGGAAGCAATAACTTTACTGGACAGCTTTAAAGGTCAAATTAAAGACAGAATTTAGACAAATTTGTTTTTATTTTAAACAAAAGACCAGATATTTTTTAAAATCGTGTTTTTATGAAAATAATGTCTATGAAACCAAAAGGTTGACAAATTTAAATCGGTTTTGGATTCAGAGGCCACAGATTTCTGATTCTAAAAACAATTAGATCAGACTCCAAAAATGCTGCTGACATACATATTCTGTCAATCAGCTGCTCAGCTCAATGAAATCGGGTCATATCAGTGAAGATTCAAATGTCTGTGTCCAAATATATGCATAAAATAAATTTCTGAAAGGAAACATCATTTTAAGAAGCCTCTAGAGACCACATGGACCTGCTAGCATAGCCTGTCTGGATGGAAGTTTTTATTATTACAAATGTTCTACATGGAACTACAAGGAGTTGATTTTATCTCATAAACTTATTGACAGATGGGTTTTCAGGTAAATAAAGGCTCTGTCTTGAGTTCTGTGTCACTATTTAAAATTTTCCAGTCTTAAAACACAATACACAAACTACTTCCATAAATGTATTTTTGTTGACAAGGACCCATGTAGTAAACTTAACAATATCTTAAGATGACTGTTTTATAATTTTCCCTTTAAAAGTCACCTAATTTCACAGATTTAAATTAAATGAGAAGCAGGCTTCTAGAAAAAGATTTTACATTTCATAACTTTAAATGAGTCAATTTTTGGTGGTAACTGCTTTGTTGATTTGCATCTACAGAGGCTCATGATCATAGATTTTTTTTACTCTGGGAAAATGTGTGACAAAATACATTAGGAAATAAAAATATTTGTTTGACCTTGATCACATGGAGATGTTGGTGCTGATTTTGACCTATCTTCTTCTGATGACGCACATCCCGGAACTGGTGGTTGAGTCTCTGCACCTGCAATTAGCTAAGAACAATTCCAAAAGTTGTATTCAGCTGTGATCTTCCTGTGCCATGAGCAAATTTAATTCAACAACCTTAGTTCAAAAGTAGAAGCATGAATGAAAGTGAAGATCTTCTACCCTTATGGATTCTCACTGGCAGAACCTCAGCCACACAGTAGATGGCATCGTATGAAATGGAAGCCATAATACAGAGAAAAAACAGGCAACTGAAAGAAAAACAGGTTCTTAAGATGAAATAAACATAATGTACATACCCAGAGAAAGTTTTGAGAAGCCACCATGAGTCTGTATTCAAATTTATCCAGTAAATACATTTAATCATAACATGTATCAGCAAGCACTACAAACCACCTCATGCAGTAACAACATAACACCTTTTCCCAGGAGTGTAAGATCAATTAATTCATTATTTAATTTCCTATGTTTCTGTAACATTTTAAAACAGCGTACATGGGATCCCAGGGTGCAATAAGCAGGAAAATGAACAGAAGCAACTGTGAATGTTTAAATATATTATGGCACAAATTGCCTATTTCTGTGAGACCGATGGGTCTGTTGTGACAATCATGCAAACAGAGATACAAAGTGTGGGCCCGTTTTCATCCAGGATACACATCATACACTCAGGCATAACTCCATCAGTTTTGGATGTATTTGGGGTGACCTATGCTTTTTATTTCTGTAACAGCTTGGTTATTCCTACGAAAGGCATGATTACTCCAGAAATGTCATCTGGCAAACATCTCCTCTTCATGAAAATCAGCACATTGCTTGTTTATCAACATACACAATACTATGGAGTACTGCTGTCTGTCTGTCAATCAATCGATCAATTATTCAATGTCAATTCTGAGCCATAACAGGCATTTATGTTTCTAACTGTTGCCAGACATTGTCTCTCTGTCAAATTTCCTGCCTCGAAATTAAAAAGGGGAAATCCTTCCAGAAACTATAGACTTGAGATCTGCAACATTGTACCAGGTCAAAATAAATTTCATATCAAAGTTCAGAATAGATGACTTACATTTAAAAAACAAAACTCGAAGTCTTAGGTCTGTACTGATATATAAAAAAGTTACAGTGCAAGTTATCTGAGTAGGATTGAACCCCAACTAATAAAGTCATAATAGAGTCATACTTATTGTATTTTTTTAATGTGACAATGCATAGTAAAATTACCTTTTTCCTCCTCTGCCCACTATTAGTGATCTTATCTGGAGTGACTCCAAGATCTGCAAGAACTTTAGCTATGCCTCTAGCATCCACTCCACAGTTTGGTGCCACATTTGTTTCACAGCGTCGATGTACATTCATCTTGCAAACTGCAATGAAATACAAAATTATTATTTTTGTAATAAAAATAGTAGTAAACTAAAAATTATCCTGGCATGCATTTGCCTTACCTAAATCAGATTTTATTGGACCTATCAATAACTTTTTCAAATAAATACAATATCATTAGGGAAATACTTAGCTGGATTTGAAGGTGTACTTCCATGCTAATATAAAATTATTAACCTGATTATCATTCTTCTTATATGATAATGTAGAATAGTATTTTCATACAGTGCCCAGAAGAGACAGGAACAAATGAAATAATCAAATGATCCCGTAACTCTTAAAATTATTTGAATTAGAGAAAAAAGTCCTTCAGAGCTTGGATTTTAACTGTCCACTATGGAAAGCACAGCATTAAATCCTTATGTACTACTGCTTCTTATACTTATTTACTGAAGTAGATTAACTTCTAATATAGGCAGCCATAAAACTGACAGCACTTTAAAATTTTAATAAAAATTAAGAGTTTTAACTTGCTTTATTTAGATGGCAATCCTGTTACTAAGCTCTTTCCCCTAAATCTCCTGAAACTAATATATTATTATGAGGAGAAAAGAAAGGTTACTTTGCTTCCAGGTTATGGGGCAGAGACAAGAACACAGCTCCATTAAAACGTAGAATGTGGATTTGTTAGGAGCAGATGACATTTTATCTGAGACTTCAGTGCCCTCTTGTGGAGCAAGGAATAAAGAGAGCACAACTGCAACTATGATTTAATCCTAGATTAATATTCAATTGTTCAAATTCCTCATTTCTTTATTTTTTAGAGAAAAGGAAATTATAAAAATATACATTTATAAAATTGCATTTCATTTCATTTTTCATCAATAAAGCTTTCATTGTATAGCCCCTAAAGGAAAAAAACAAAACACATTTGCTTCTGAGACTACACCCAGGCAATGTATCTGGCCATAACTATGAGCTTCAGAAAGCTGGTGACTTGCCTTTTTAAGTATGTTTCAGCTCACAAGAAGAGCAAAGAAATTGCTAAACATGGTAATTTCAATCAATGTATATGCAGTGACAAAACCTCAGCAAGTAAAGGAGCAAGTAAAATGTTTGAGCTAGGCTAAATCCATGAAAGTGGACATTGAGGAGCCAAACTGCTTGAAATAGCAGAAAAACTTTGTACAGTCCAACTTCATGAATATATTTTGTGAAAAGATCCACAGGAATAACCAGTGAAAAAATCTGAAGAAGAATAAACTCTGTTATACACTTCCATGGTGTTAATAATCACACTGCGCAAGGAAGTACATCTCTGAAGAAGGGAGTCACTCAGCACTTGTTAAAGAGAGAAAACGAAGCACAGAGAAAACAACATTTTCAGTTCAGATGAGTTCTAGATTTCGTGCAGAGAACACTGCATTTTTATAGGCAACAATTTTATGAACATGGAGAAAGCAACATAGACTCTCTGCACTACTATTTCTATGGATCTGCTACACAGTATGAGAAATAACAGTTACAACCAAATGAACAGTATGGTACTTGATTTAGAATATGAAAGAGAACTCACGTATGCTCAGATTAGGCAGAGTGATACTATAGCTTTGGTTAAAAGAAAAAAAAATTAAAGAGAAAAAAAGCCCAGATACAATTGAAAAGTCTTCACTGACCACATCTCCACCATAATTAAGACAGCATTTGAGCAAAATCTTCAATAGCTGCAAAGTAATAGCACTCAGAGTCTAACATTTCCTCACTGTTCACTAGCTGGAATCATACAGGAGGACTTGAACTTCAGAAGTCTCACTGTGTATAACTCTGGTGTGAAAGAAATTTCTTCTTTTCCTTCTCAGCAACTTGTGTCATGAAACATCAAGTATGACCTCCACCTACAGTTACTTTTCATCCCAAATACTGCAAAGGATGTATTTTTTATAGATAACGTACTTACACATATATGTGTAACCCCATATTTCTGCTGTTGAGAGGTGTACACAATATAATTTTTGTATTTAAGAAGATGGACATATCCATTCTTAAGGCATAACAAAATGAAAAATCTTATCATTCCACTAGGCACTACTTCCTCAGAACCTGATAATTATTTCCTTCATGACATCATTACCTTCCACTCGCAAATTGAAGTATTTTATTAACTATTTATAGGAACCAAACATTTTTGACAATTAAAATGACACAAATGCATCTTCCAGACATATTTTCACATATAGTTCCTGTACAGAGTACATAGTCCTTAAGTGACAGAACATAATGAATCCTTTATTTTCTGGAATAGAGGGGCTAAGCAGACCATCACAAAGGATAATTTAGCTGGGTATCAGAATACCTCATATTCTGGACATGGGCACACAGGACTGGTTCTACCTACTCTAACCGATAAAAAATGGCAATTTTTGAAAATTATTATTTTATTAATAATAATTAAAGGTATTAAAGGGAAAAGTAGCTGGAATATTGATGTTTAAGAAGTTTAACAAACCTGAAAACACGAAACACATATGAACTAAAAGTATGTAAATTGTAAGTGTCATAATTTTCTGTTAACTTTTGATATCCTGCGTGGCAATAAACCCACACAGGAGTGAATGCAAAATGTGTTTCTTATGTCTGAGCTCTGCATCTGTTACTGACTGTTGGTGTATCTAGCGGTAACACTCTGTATCCCAGACTCCAACAGTCGGTGTTGCAAATGTTGTGACCGTATTCTAACGATGGAAATCCTTATATTGCTCCACTGCTCATTTTCTATTTATTTCTGTACATGCTGACATTGTGACTTGAAGCCTTTTCAAGTCTACAAGTCACTCCCAAAATAAAGGAAAGCTCTGAAGCGGTGCCTTACCTTTGCATTGTAAACCTTGTCTCAAAAGACCCCAGAGCAATGAACCACAGTGGTCACAGAAGGTGGGCACTTTGTAATTGTGAATACTGAACTTGTGAGGCATGTTGACACTGAAACGCTGGGATCCCACTTGCTGAAAAAGGACAGCACAACATGTTTAATTTTAATCAATTTCTTTGCAATCGGTGTATGCTGAGGCCCTGTTGCATTTTTAAACCACACAGAATTCAAATGAGATGAAATAGATCTGTGCTCAGATGATGGCCACTGCATTGATGATATATGCCAACCACAGAATTCTTTTCACTACTTTATCTGGGGAAAAGAGGAAGAAGGGCTGCTGTTGTCCAAGAGATAAAGACTAAAGTTTACTTCCTAGTACTTTTGGGAACAACAAATACATAGCTATCAGGAAAGATCTCAATGTGGAAGGCAAGGAAGTCACTCCCACTTGTTTTAGGAACAAGAGGCCAAACTAAAACAGGACTAGAAAAAGAAATATATCATAAACTCTTTACCTTTTCATATCCCACACTTCTTTGGATTATGATAATGACAGTGATAACACGTCATGATGAGGGATTCCAAGGTATGATTACTTATTAATTAAAGGATGTCATTGATAAATTTTCATAGTGGCCACTGCACTGCAGGAGATTTTTTTTTAATGTTTTTACTTCCCTTTTGTATTACTGCTGGCTTTTCTCCAGTGATCTAGTACCCCTTCTAAACAATGAGACTATCAGCAATGTATGCAAGTTTCCGCCAGTCTGGAGCCTGGGAATATAAACCTGCACAAGATTTTGTATATGAGTACTACACAAAACCAGCACTAGCCCAATAAAGTCCTTTATCACAATTGTATGCACATGATCACATTTTGGATGTAAAATACTGGTGGTGGACCAGATATTACAGAATGGTTCCAGTACGGAAAATGCTACTGAATTGCACAGAAAAAATGAGATCATGAGTTAGCACCTCAGTCAAACTCAAGTTCAAGTTGAAAGAATAGATTACAACTGCCTTGTTATATACAACTCCAGTTTGTAACTTAAAGGTAGGCTTTTTCAATCATACGAATGTAGGTTTTTAACAAATAAAATTAAGAAATGTAGTTTTTCTGTGTGGCCAAGGAACTGTGATCACCCAAAGACCACCTCATCTAAGCCTATGGTGAAAGACAACAGGTCCTTGCTGTTTCAACAGCAACAGGACAGTGAGCATACATCTGCTTTTCTATTGAAGCACAAAACAAAATCTGTGTAAGAAAAAGCATTCGCTGTTTATACTCAAGGGCTAAAACTATTTGAAAAAACATAACTACATTTTGAAAGCTTAGATGTAATCTTTGTTGAAGTGAGACTTTGCAAGCAAATTCTGATCAGTTTTTTATGCTGGTGCCAGATACCCACCCAAGCATCCCAGCTCTCCTATCAGTTGCTGATGGGTCAGCCACACAAAATGCAGCCAGGAAAATGAGGGATCAGCCTGCTTCTTCTGAATTAAACTGACAAGACATGTATTAACTCAGAAATGGAGAGAGAATGTTAAAAATAAAAGGAGTGGAAAGAGCTCTCTGAAACTTTGAGCTTGGATGTTATAGAAAGTAAACCAATTAGAAATAAATTTCTGTATAATTCCTATGTAAATAAAACTGTGATGGCAATCTAGCATTCCAAAATAAATGCTACACCACAAAATGAGCAGAAGGGCATAAAAAAGTCTATAGCATCTATTGATTAAACAGAGATGACACTATTTTGAACAAAGATGGAATTTTATACAGAAAAAAAATTCTAAACATTTACCTCATCGTGAGTTTCCTGTTTTTTTAAGCCAGCACACTTCGTTATTATAAGTTCATGACATCGCTTGTGAACTACACAAGTACAAACTAGAAAGACAAAAACAAATAAAATAATGAGTTTTCATGAAGATTAATTTTAAAGCAGAAGTCTGCTCTCAGAAGACTAGAACCATTGGGTTTTGAAAGTGTGCAAGTGACTGGTGGTGACTCAGTAAGTCCTATGAAATAAATTGGTTTACAAAGGCAGAAGATAATGGACTTTCAAAAGACCAGAGAATTTTAAGATAACTAAAGCATATCCGCCAAATATCTTGTCTGTAAAACTACAAATTACCTTCTGAAATGTTAACTGCAATTTTTCTCAGTTTTGACATATGTGATTTATTTATCTGATTAAATCCATGATCTCAACATTACATGAGACACAATAGCAAAAACAATTTCTGCTTAAAGACCTTCTAAAGGAAAACAGATATAAAGATAACTCATCATAAAAGTCAAAATAACAGAAAATAAAAAGAAGTCAAACATTCTTTCTGTAACACATTATCATCAGTTGATAGCAGTAAAAGATTTCAGGAGGCAAAAATGTTTTGCCAATATACATTTTGATTACTTAATCAATGAATAACTTTCGCAGACATGACAAATAAGATAAACAATTACTTGGTCTATCATAATGTAAAATTCAAGGTCATTAAACAAAGTAAAACCTTCACAGTGAAGTAATGAATTTCACTTTCTCCAGTTTTTGTCATTGTTGTAAGAAAAAAAAAAATAGATCAGAAGTTTAGGTACGTTTTCAGCTAACTCTGTGTGTTAATACAATAATTCTTATTATTGCATGTAAAGCTCTATTAAAAAAATGGCATTTACTTATTTACTATGAGATTTAATTACAGTACTTCTTATTACAGCATGTAAAGCTCTATATAAAAAATGGCATTTACTTATTTACAATGAGATTTCATCAAGTCTTTTGTAACAGAAAAATCATCACTACTTGATGGTTTCTACTTGTTAGATGAGAATTAAGTACTAACACATCATCCCAAAAGGCGATTGCATAAAGAAGCAGGAGTACAAGAACTTGAGTTGAAAAATGGGAGATGAAAACGAAGCACTTGTGCAGTCTTCACAATAACCTTCTCTAATGATGACCTCTATAATTATCTCATCTATTGAAATTACAGTCTTGGCAATTACCTGGAATTTTTAAACACAGAATCTTAAGCAGAATACAGAGCTCTCAATTTTAAAATGCAAGACTTGAAAAATTAAGAACTCAGCATCTGCAGGTATGGTTCCCTAGATGTATATACATGAAGAGATATCTGGGATCTGGTGTTCAGGGCGGTTAGCTGAGTTCCTATTTCATATATGATGCTTAAGACTAACAGTTTTGAAAAAAATTACTGTGACTTGGTGCGAAGATTGTATACTTGTTGTGACAAACTTATTCTGATCATCATGTGCTAAATTCTTTGCATTGTATATATACAATGCCTGATAAAAATATCTTATTACTTATATAACATAATAAATAATTTAAACTGTGCTTATGTAGCATTTCTCTTACCTTGACATTGGTATCCCTGTTTTCCTATTACACCCCTGAAAAATAATTAAGTGTTTTAGAAAACAAAGAGGAAATACTTCTAAAAATGAAAACATTTTTCCTTCCCTTTGCTGTACATGCACATGTTTAAAGAAAAGCTTCTCATAATCAATCATCTGATAATTGCATGCCTGGACTAACATAATTTCAAAGTAGGAACACTTCAGCTGCTGAGAGGTAACAGGAAGGATGAGAGACCATGAAGGCAGTCAGAAATACAGATACATTTACTATAGTGAAACAGACAAAGCTAAAGGGTGCATGGAAAGGGGACAAAGCGGTAAATCATCATCAAGCAGACCTCTAAACAGACATATTGCATTTGTCAATGTTGCTTGAAATCACCTCAGCCAACGTATAGCCTAACCCCCAGGCACTTTTTAGAGGAATGCAGTTGAGTTCATGCACGTTTCACATCATTGTAAATTAAGAAAAACTGATTCATTACACACTCCTAACAAATATTTACTGTCAATCCCTTCATAATTTATGTGTAAATCAGTATCTCTAGGTCACTTTGGAAAACATCAGGAGCTGCTGAAAAACAACTGAAAACTGAATGTCTCCACCACTTCTCTCTATCTGAAAATTGAAAATACTCCAAGTAACGTAAATAATTTCTGAAAGGGAGTTCTTAGTGTACATTGTAATAATAAAGACCCTGTACACTGACCACCAAAATCTCTGTGTCATTAGAAGTACAGCATACCCATATTCCATTAACTTCATTAGGATGTGAAGAAGCTTTGCATTTCTTAGAAGACAGTGATTCTTAATCATGTAACAAAGAATTCTGTCATTGTGACAAAATGTACATGTCTAATATTAAGTCTAAATCTACACTTAGTCACTTACATAATGCTAGACTGGTGGTCTACCTGGAATTTAGTGTGCAATAGATAGGGAAATATGGAACTTTGTGGCTCAAAGGAGAAGAACCACAACAAGAAGAAATACAACCAATTCTAATATTTGTGATGGGAGTTTAACAGCCTTCTATTATCATCCGCAACACTGTAGACAGGCTAATGTCAAAATAAAGAGAAAAAGAACTATTGCTCTATACCATTTTCACTTCAGCAAAACAGGGAGGTATGCTAACTCCCCAACTCAAAGTTGCAAAGAAAGCAAACTAAAAATTACACCATACCATATGAAGTCTCTGCAGTGAGAGCAATATGTTGGTTGTCTAAGGTAGGTGGCCATAAACTTGTGTCCATTAACCTGATGCACCCTGCGCCGCACGGCACCCTGGCGCTTCCTGGGGCGCATCCGTTCCCGGAACACACGCTCTTCATTGTCCTTGGGTGCTGAAACACAGAGAAGAACAATAAGTACTGGCTGTCACAGACACAAGTCTGGGGAAACTCAAATGCTACACATAGGTAGATATTCTTCAAAAATAAAAACAATCCTTTATACTCAGCAGTGCAAACTAACTCCCTTAAGTTTTGGGTAATTTTTATTCATTTCTAGCATCAATTACCAGAGGGCAAAGGTTTTCACTGCCTAGTGCAGAAACTTCTAGTTCTTCTAAAGCTTCATCTGTAAAATTCATGCTAAATTGGGATCAAGTCCTCTACACTTTATCACTATCAAGCATACTGACAATCACTTAACAGTAATTATATAGTTAGATTCTCCTAACAGCTCAGACTTTCACCTCACTTGATCTTCAGGAGAAGAAAAAGATCCCAACATCCCCATGTCCCTGTACACGCAGAAAGTGCTGATCCAAGTGCAAGAAAGCTGAGTAAAAATACATATTATCAAGCAGAACAAAAAACTTCCATGCGAAATTGACTACTTTGTAGAATTCCCGATTAATATCTGAGCTTCAGGCTCTAATAACTCACTTTGATACTAATACATGCTCAGTAAAATGTTCAGGGGAAGCAAGTTGTTCTTAACCAAGTCCTGTTCCAATTGTATGAGATCTAATGGTAGAAGAAGTATAAAATGAAGTTGATATAACTCAGAGTGAAAACATTTGGGAAAGAATTCTTCAGAGTGCATTGAGTCTTTCTCTAAAGGCGTTTTTTTTTTAAAGTATACTATTCAATACACTAACACCATCATAAGATTATGTATGCATTAAGCAAAAGCTGAAGATGGATTAGCAATGAACGGTTCACAATTGTTAATGAAAGACAGATTTAACAAACATTCCCTGGGCCACTCATGACTTGGCAAACTAAAATATAGTACTTGGAGAGGACCATATTCAGTCATCCATTGCCAACTTAATCTATGCACTCAATACTTTGGTGCATATAATACTTTGATGCGTAGTTAACACTTGTCATTCTTTGAATTTCAGCTACTGTGAATCATTACAACTGCATAAAACCACCAACTTTGGTCTGCTGCAAGCTTTTCCGTACATGACTGAGGTGTCCAAGCAACAGTACAGTCCCTAATATTAACACATAGAAAATTCAAAGTCTGAGAACAACTCAATGCATAAAAGTCTCAAATTCTTTTACAAACACTGGAGTAAATCCTGGTTTTGAGAGTTGTAAATATAAAAGGTATTGATTTAAGAATTTTTAGAAAATTGTCTTAAACTAAATGAATGGATAGACGTCTTGGGAAAAAAAACAGAGCACAGATGAACAAACAGAGATAAATGCCTTTCATTGCAGAGCAAATGCTAAACTCCTTGATACCAGCAAATTTTTTTATGCACAGAGGAGCCTAAGCTCCAAATACATCAATGTTTTACAAACACTTCATACTCAGAGTCGGTTTTCACCCTAAGACTATACATCTGTGGGATGGCCAGAGTGCACTCCTTTTCTATTCTAAAGTAAGCTCTCAGTAAATAAACTGCCTCATACACAAAGCTACCCCTTTTATTTATTCTGAAGAACAACCAAAAAAAAAAGCAATGGTTGTAGGTTGCCCTTCAATAAAGAGATAAGAAATACCAGACAGTTACCAATTACATTTATTTTTATGTTGTGAATTTTGTTTATTTTTAGGTATTAAGCAAAACTCTAATGTCTAATAAATATCAGAGCTTCTTAAGAGAAAGACTGTCTTCCATAAAGAGTATGCAACAAGTAGTTGAAAACCCAACAAAAGATTAATTTTTCAAACTTCTTGAATGATTTATTGACTTTACAAATATGCTGGAAATCTTTTAAAAGCTATTATAGGAAACAATTCTATATTAACACAGATCTGCTCTTTTCGTTATCATCCAGATTGTAGACTTTGCTACAGTATGCACAGGCTGGATGTGAGAAAGTTAAAATCCAACTCTTCTTGAAAGACTTCCCCCAAAAAATCCAACTCTTCTGAAAAGGTTTCCCAAATAGTTACATTCTTACATGAAATGAACAAGATGTTCTGACAGTGCACAGTACACATTTGATAAGATATATAGTCTATAGTACTGGTTTTTTTCATTTTTTCATCTTAAGTGCAATTCTTCACAGATAAAGCACCTGTAATTTTACAGAGCACATAACATCCTCCTCTTGTTTTGGCTACATAAACGCAGTATCATGACACTGGGGTGTTTTGGATTGTTTGCTTTGTTTCTACCAGCAAAGTCTCAAAACTAGTTTCACTGCATTAGTTTCAATTCTATATTTAATTCTTTAATGAAATTCCATTTTCCCTTCCTAATATCCTTTTCAGAAATGCATGACTTGAAAACTGATACAAGTAATACATTTGAAAGTATAAGGTTAAATGGCAGGCCTCAATTATCAAAAATCACTACCACACAAACAGCATCACGGTGTGTGAGAATGATCCTCTAACAGCTCAAGAAAATGTAGTTTTCTTGATCTGTCTTGGATAATGCTGGAGGTCCATTAGCCAGTTGCCTTCAAACAGTCTCTGCTGTCTCCTATTCCCCTTTTGTCACTAAAGACTGTCACTTGGCCAAATCCATGCATCATGCCCTGCCTTAGAGTCGAAGTGCACAGATAAACTGCATGTTTGAGAGCACTGACTCCACCCCACCTCTCATTACATCCTGTGTACAATCCCCAACTCGTCAGTCAGCAGCAGTACTCGTTCAGAGGGCTTCGAGCAGTAGAATCATAGAACCATGGAATTGTTAAGATTGGAAAAGACCTATAAGATCTCTTGGTCCAACCACAACCCCAGCATTGCCAAGCCCACCACTAAACCATGTCCATAACTGCCCCATCTACATGTCTTTTAAATATCTCCAAGGAAGGTGAGTTCCCCAGGCAGCCTGTTCTAATGCGTGACTACATAATTTGTTAAGAAATTTTTCCAGTCTAGACCTCCCCTGGTAAAACTTGATAGCATGTCCTCTTCTATCAATTGTTATTTGGGAGAAGAGACCAACTCCCACTTCACCCTCCTAGAGAGCAGGAAGGTCTTCTCTCAAGCTCCTTTTCTCCAGGCTAAACAAGCATCTGACATTCCAGTGCATGTCAGACCACTGGATGACTGGACATGAGCCTTTAATCACAGCAGATGAAGCCACAAGAGAAATTAGCTCACCCACAAGCTTAATATTAACTTCTTAAGTTCGCTTATTCACTGCAACCACATATAAACATATAAGCAATGCCCACAGTCCCCAAGCAAAACACTGCCACATCTTGCATGGAAAAGCTTTTCACTGAAAAGGTGGTCAGCCTTTGGAACAGGCAGCCCATGATGGAGTCACCATTCCTAGAAGCGTTCAAAAAAATTGTGCATATGGCATTTAAATACATGGCTTAGTGCTGAACATGGAAGTGCTCGGTTAACAGGCAGACTTGATGACCTCAAAAGTCTTTTCCAACCTTAACAATCCTGTGATTCACACTGCTGTTTTGGGCCACAGGCATAAAATCAGGCAGGAACTGTCCCAGGTGACTCAGAAGCAGATGATCACATCTGTTCTGGCTCATACCCAAGGGTGTGAACCACTTATTTCTAGCAGAACTCACAATAGTCTAAATTAAAATCCATTTATCTCATACTGAACAGCCACACTACAGATGTTAATTTATCTGACTGAAGACAGACCTACTTTGGAAGGGAGCTACACTACTCTCCCCAGATATCTCTCATAGTTTACAAGAAGAAAAGCAAAGATTAGTAAATGCTGTCAGAAAGCAGGGAGTATTTGGGAAAACCCCCAACATCTGTACAATATAGACAACTAGTGTTTTCAATCCATTCTTTTGAAAATATTAACATCCCAAAAAATTGGCCTTTAAAAAATATTTTTAGAAGTCTTACAGAGATATGTTTTAGGTTATAGAAAATACCATTAGCATACTGCATACTGTGCATGGCATTTCTATTCTTAGCAGAGGACTTAAGTGGATTTTTCATAGCCAGAATATTAGCAAGTTTCAATATAAACAATTTCTTTTCATGGTATTTCTACTAAATAGTCACAGAGGGTTATCATTTCCTCAGTAAAGACTTTTCCTTTATTTAATGTTCATTCTGTTCCCTGTTTGATTCTGAGTCCTTCTGTCTTCTGTGCTATTCAGTTTATCCTTTTAAAATTAATTTCTTCCATTTTATTTTCAAAAGATGAAGTAAGAAATAATGATAATTTCTAAGTGTTCATGGAGAATGCTGTTGATGGAGCACATTGAGTTTATGCTTTATACGAGGGTACTTGAGGGTACTGGCAAATTTAAAACAAATTTTATTTTAAAACCATACCCAGTAATGCCACTACTTCTTTCACTGCAGCGAAGAGTAACTCTTGAGTTATTTGAAAAATAATAGCATATAATTGCTTTTACACAGTCATATGTACATACATACATAATGCCTACAATTTTAAAGACTCAAAAGACTTGCAGGCTTAACTCCAAGCTCTAAGGGAAGTGTTATAAAAGACAGAAGTATCTGGCATGAAAAATTGTATGAAACTCATAAATGCTTGCAAAATGGAGGCTTAAATGAACTGTCTGAACTACATCTAACGCTGTTCATTGTGTAGTATCCATTAAGCATGAATTATAAGTCACAACTTAAAAGTCATTACTTAAAATTTAAAAGAAAGGAAAGTGATGCATAATGCTCAGGAACTTCAAAGGAAACCAGATTAAGGGGAGTAAGATCTATACACCAAATAACAAAGGTTCAATCATGTCAGGTCTTGTTTCATACTAAAACAGTTTCAGCATAAATGAGAAGGGTTCAATGTGGAGCGTTAACTGCAAAAAGATTATCCTGCATAGCCATTTCCATGTCTTATCTTCAATGTTGTGAGTACTTACAGAGTTCTGACAACAACTAAAAAAATGCAAAAAATAAGGCAGACAAAGAGCAAGAGAGCTTACACACAAATAGAGGGGATATCCAGCAT